ACCACCTAAGGTTCCCAGGGGAACCTGAATTGAACACATGCCAAAGTTAACTAATTCTCATCCTTGTCTCTGTTTCCCACCTCACTGTACCTAATCCAGGAACACGGCGGTCACTCCAGGCTCCAACCTTGGCATCCATTCCTATTCTCTTCCACCCTCCATTCATTTACCAAATACCACCAATTTTAAGTCCAAATGTATCTTGAATAGGTTTCCTTTCTCTGGACCTCAGTTATCATTCTCAATTTCAGGTCCTTATCTTCCTTACCTATTTCTCTACCCTTCCCCTATCCTCATATCCATCCTCTATGCTGCCTCTGGAATAACCTGCCTAAGATGAAAACCACCAAGTTTCCTCTGCTAGAGACCTACGATAGCTCCTCATCACCCACACCAAACTCCCAGCTCTGAGTCTGCTAGAGGAAGGCCCAGCATGACCTGACTCAGCCTCTCCAGCCTCGTCCCAGCACTCCCTGCCTCAAACTTCAGGCTCTGATGATGATACAGAGTAGCTTGTAGCTTTCCAACACCTGACACTGCTTCATGAGCTTGAGTCTATCATCCTATCCTATCCTGTCTGGCTCTATCCCCTCTGCCTAGAGGGCCCTTCCCATCCTTCTTCACCTGGTCATGCTGATTAATCCTCAACACTTAGCCCAGCCATCACCTGCCTCAGGAATACTTCCCCAAATTCTTAAGTTAGGGAAGTGCTCCAGTTTTATTTTGCTCTATTGTCTCATGGTTTATCAACAGAAGGTTGGAATTGTCTGTTTGGGAGTCTTTCTTTCCCATTAACCTAAAATCTTGTCAGTGTTTTAACTGCCTTTGACCTAGTGCCTCATGCACTGCTTGGCACATAGTAGGTGCTCTGTTAATACTGTCGACTGAATGTAAGCCCTTCAGAGAAGGGACACTACTTCTCTACCCATGGATTCCTAAGGGGAGTTCATGCGTGCTCAGTCGTGTCTGACATTTTGCGACCCCAAGGACTTTAGCCCACCAGGCTCCTCTGCCCATGGAGTTTTCCAAGCAAAAATACTGGAGCAGGTTAACATTTCCTACTCCAGGGGATCTTCCTGACTCAGGGAGATCGAACCCAAACTCCTACATGTCTCCTGCATTACAGGCAGATTCTTTACTGTTGAGACACCAGGGAAGACCCTCTATGGGTTGCACTTATGGTCAATTAATCTGCAACAAAGATGGTAAGAATATACAATGGAGAAGAGACAATCTCTTCAATAAGTGGTGCTGGAAAAACTGGACAGCTACAAGTCAAAGAGTGAAATTAGAACATTGTCTAATAGCATACACAAAAATAAACTTCAAATGGATTAAAGAGCTAAATGTAAGACCAAAGACCAAATACTATACAACTCCTAGAGGAAAATATAGGCAGAACACCTTTCAATATACATTGCAGCAATATTTTTTTAGATCTTTCTCCTAAAGCAAAGGAAATAAAAGCAAAAGTAAACAAATGGGACCTAAATAAATTAAAAGCTTTTGCATAGCAAAGGAAACCATTGGCAAAATTAAAAGACAGCCTACTGAATTGGAGAAAATATTTGCAAATGATATGATGGATAAGGGGTTACTATCTAACATATATAAACAGCTCATACAATTCAACATCAAAAAAAACAGACAACCCAATTGAAAAATAGGCAGAATCAAACAGACACTTCTCCAAAGAAGATATACAGATGGCCAATAGGCACATAAAAGGATGATCAACATCACTAACTATTAGAGAAATGCAATCAAAACTACAATGAGGTACCATTTCACACTGGTCAGAATGGCCATTTTTAATAGGTCTACACATAACAAGTGCTAGAGAGGACGTGGAGAGAAGGGAACCTTCTTACATTGTTGGTGGAAATGTAAATTGGTGAAACCACCATGGAAAACAGTATGGAGTTTCCTCAAGAAATTAAAAATAAAGATGCTGTATGAACCAGCAATCCCACTCCTAGGCGTATCTGGACAAAACTATAATTCAAAAAGATACATGCACCCCTGTGTTCATAGCAGCACTATTCACAGTAGCCAAGACATGGAAACAACCTGAATGTGCATCTATAGATGAATGGATAAAGAAGACGTGCTATTGAGATACAAAGGAATACTACTCAGCAGTATAAAAGAATGACAATTTTGCCATATGCAGCAACATGGACAGACTTATAGGACATTATGCTAAGTGAAATAAGTCAGACAGAGAAAAACAAATGCTGTATGATACCACTTATGTGTGGAATCTAAAAAACTGCAATGAACTAGTGAATAAAACGAAGAGTCAGACTCACAGATTTTGAGAACAAACTAGTGGTTACCATAGGGAGAGGGTATGGAGGAGGGGAAATAGAGGGGTAGGATATTAAGAGGTACAAACTATTATGTATAAAATAAATAAACCACAAGGATATATTGTACCACACAGAGAATATATGCAATATTTTATAGTAGCTATAAACTGACTATGAGTGTATGTGTGTGTGTATAAGTCGCTCTATCATGTCAAATTCTTTGCAACCCCATGGACTGTAGCCCGCCAGGCTCCTCCGTCCATGGGATTCTCCAGGCAACAATATTGGAGTGGGTTGCCATTCTTTTCTCCAGGGGATCTTCCTGACCCAGGGACTGAACCTGTATCTCCCACACTGTGGGAAGAGTCTACCATTTGAGCTACCAGGAAAGCTCATATATAATCTTTAAAAATTGTGAGTCACTATGTTGTGCATCTGTAACATATAATATTGTACATTGATTATACTTTACTTTAAAAAAGCTGAAACAAAATGTTCCTTGGGTGAGGTCTGCTCCCACTGATGACCTTGAAGGGAAAGGGGGAAGAGAATTCTGACCACAGAGCTTCTAAATGTTCCGTGGAGGTCAGGCTCAGTAGAACCTGCACACAGACATTCCATCCCCCTCATCATCCTGTGCATGAGTTTTGAAGGTAGTAAGCTCTCTGGTAATTATTTAAGGAAATAATCCACTGGGTCCGCAGAGGATGGCAGATCCTCCCATGAACTCTCCCATACCACCAATCTCAGTAAAGGTGTGAGCATGAATTAAGGAAATTATGGCAAAGAAAGAGGCTTGTTAGGGCAGAGCCCTCCAGACCCTGCTCCCCACCCAGCCTGCCATTGCCCCCTTCCCAGGGGCCTCTTTGCACAAAGATTCAGCCCCCTGCTGGCTCCTCACTGCTTCTGAAACCGCAGAGCATGAAGAACTGCGGAGGCATGCTGGGGTCAACAAGAGGAGCCTCTGTGGATTCCAGTGGGTCTCTGAAGGGTGGGATCTGCATTTTGAACACCCACCTCCTGCTAATCCTCCTGCAAAACCAGTCAGGCTGGTTGTAATGTATTATTAGAAAGCCCACACATTCTTCCTGGGAACAACAGACCCACTTGTTGCATGAGGAGTGTCTCAGTGGAACCAAGGAACAGGGGGAAGGGGGCCGTTGGGCAAGGAGTGGAGTCAAGCCTAACACGGGAGACAGAACTTGGGTTTCGGAGTTAGGTAGGGCGGGTTCCAACGCTGCCCTGCCCCTTCCAGGCCGTGTGGCCTTGAGAACGAGACGTAAGCCCTCTGAGGTGACCATGAACGCTCACAGGCTGTGGTGAGGATTACAGGCGGCCACTGTGAGGCACCTAGCCCAGGGCACAGAGAAAGAAGGTGCTGGCAAAACGCTCGGTCCTCTGATGTAGGTGCTTCTTGGGACAGCCTCACTGGGCAGAAAAGTCCAAATGGAAGGGAGCAGGGTGTCCTCGCAGACACAGGAAGGGGAATCCTGCCCAACAGCCACGCAGTCACCCTGAGTGCCCCCAGCCCCTGACTCAGGACTGGTGGCTTCAGGAGGACACCAGTGAGGGAGCTGATGTTTTGTTTTAAGAAAGAGAGTTTTCTAGGCTGCCTCTAAGAAGTAACATTCTCTCAGTCTTTTCAGAAACTTCACTGTTAATCTGAGGTTAACCCTCCCTCCCAACCTGCTTTTCCTTTCACTGGAAAAGACACAAACAAGCCTAGAACCAACACCCACCAGTCCTCTTAAACATCATCACAAGTTGTGAACAAAGGTGAATCACCAACCATTTCAGAAAAACTCTTCCTTCACTTTCCATCTCTTTCCTTCTGGAAAGGTAAGCAACCGCCTGATGGATAAACAGGCAACTAGAGGGAGCTCTGTGAGAGGAGCAGAAGGTAAGAGATGGGGCTTCCTTCATCTCTGGGGAGTTGGGCTCATTCTATCAATCCTCTTCCTCCATCCTCTCAGCTCTGCTGATGGACCTGCCCTATCGCAGTTTCCAGGGCCACAAGCTCCTCTTGCTGCTGCTTCTTTATGTCCTTCCCCCGTCCCATCCCAGGCCCTAGGGTGGGCTGACTCTGGCCGTCCACAAAGTTTTGTTTTCTCATCATCATCATCAGCAGCAGCAGCAGCAGGGGTCTCCTCTCCAAAGAACCCCCAGGAAAACTAGGGACCCCACCCCAGAGCCGGGGTGGAGGAGGGGTATTGGTGTGAATTACTTAGCAGTACTGGGAAGTCACACCCACAGAAAAGTCTAAGCATGCTCACCTCCTTCATCATGGGGGCTTATAGAGGGTCCCCCTGCACCCCAGCCATCATCAGTCATAGATTCCCTCCCACCCCATCGAGCAGCCCCACACCATCTTACATAGGGCCCCCACAAGAGCCTTAATGTCCCAGCCTGGCACACACACTCCTTGGTCTAGAGCTGTTGTGGCAGGTGCCAGCCCTCCCTCCATGGCAGAAAACCAACCTGACCATGAAATGGGGGCTTTGAGTGGCCGGGGTGTGATATTAAATCCAATTCTCTTAAGCTCTTATCTGGCCAGGCTCATGCCAGCCCAATGCTGGATCAGATAAGAGTACCGGTGGGGACCTATGGGATGGCCCAGCAGTCTTCAGCAGCCCCGCAAGACCTCACCGCGGTTCCCTGCACCTGTAAAGATAGAGAAGAGAGCACTACCTCCAGAAGATGACCTGCCCCAGGGAAGCCATGGCGGGGAAGGGGCCCTTCCTGCAGGGCGCTGGATGCTGGGGTGAGTGGAGCTGCCACTGCCCTCCTAGTGCCGTGACTCACAGCCGGCTGGGGTGCCCTGGCCTTAAATAGTGGGTTCAGCCGGGAGTGGTCGGTGCTGCCGTGCACAGCTCAGGTATGAGGAAACAGCACTGCTCTGCAGAAGTGCCTGCAGGCAAGAGGCTGCTCGTCCCAGCCAGGGAAGCCTGGTGCATGCAGAGCCACCTTGCCAAGCCTTGACCCAGGGGAGAGAGTGGGAAGGAAAAGCTTCCCAGGCCCCCTGCTTCACACACATCTCTTCTGACTCTGCAGAGGGAGCGATCCGGAGGGAGAGTGCATCTCCACCCAGGAACAGATAGGAATGGCTCAGAGTGGCAGGTCTGTGCCAGGAAGTGGGAGGCTGGGAGCCCTTCCTGTGTGGCTGATGCTCAGACAGAGGCTGGGGCATCCCTGGTGGGATCTCTCATGGAGGGGGCTCATGCCGAGGGACCTCAGAAGGCTCTGGGCCCAGATGACAAGAGTGTGAGTCTGACACTTGAGACGGAGTTCGCCTTGGGGCCCCTGAGACTGCGCTGCTGGGTGAGCAGATCTCTCAGTTAAACGGTGAGAGGTCCTGCCCCACCCCCATCACAACTAGTTTGAGACTTCAAAACGACAGGGAATTTACCCTCCCCAGACATGATTGTTGGTGGAGTGAGTGATAGTCAGTCAGTTGCATTGGACTCTGTGACCCCATGGACTGCAGCCCACCAGGCTCCTCTGTCCATGGGTTTCTCCAGGCAAGAACACTGGAGTGGGTTGCCATTTCCTTCTCCAATTGCTGTCGTGTGAGTGGGTTAGAAAGTTTGGTCTCTGACCTTTCATCCAGCGCTCAGATTTCCAACAGGACAGAAGTCTAGGGCCCAAAGCTCACTCTCTCTGTATTGCTTCCTGCACCCCCTCCATCCCCTCCGGAGGGGCACCCTGGATAGGATGCATCCACGAACTGGCTGGTTCACCAACTACAGGCTGGCTGACTGTGTTTATTTCGGGGTAAAGATGCCCCAGGACTTCAGCAGAATGACTCCAGGGTTGGTGCAGAGGCTGCTGGAGTAAGCACGGAGCACAGGTGGGAAAGGAAGAAAGAACCCGGTGATGGAGAGAAGACAGCAGAGGAGAGGGTAATTTAACGGTGGGAAGATCTTTTTTTTTAAATTTCTTATATATTTTTTCTCTTTATGCTTTTTTAAAAAAATTGAAGTATAGTTGATTTACATTGTTTGTGTTAATTTCTGGTGTACAGCGAGGTGATTCAGTTATATATATATATTTTTTTTTTTCACTATAGGTTGTTTTTTTTTATTTATTTTATTTATTTATTTTTTTTTATCACAACCATAGTGTATCTTTTTTTTTTTTTTTTTTAACATGTATTCCCCATCCAAATAGTTTCCTGTGCTATATAGTGGTGGGCTTCCCCGGTGGCTCAGTGGTGAAGAATCCACCTGCCAAGCTGGAGATGTGGGTTCAGTCCCTGGGTTGGGGAGATCCCTGGAGGAGGAAATGGCAACACACTCCAGTATTCTTGCCCAGAGAATCCCATGGCCAGAGGAGCCAGGCAGGCTACAGTTCATGGGATCGAAAAGGATCAGACAAATCTTAGCAACTAAATAGCAGCAGCTATATAGTAGGGCCTTGTTGGTTATCTATGTTATATATAGTAGTGTATATCTGTTCATCCCAAATTCCTAATGTATCCTTCTCCTCTCCCCTCTTTTGTAATCATTGGTCTGCTTTTTATGTCTGTAAGTATTTGTTTTGTAAATAAGGTCATTTGTATCATTAAAAAAATTCCACAGATAATTGATATCATATGATATTAGTATTTGTCTTTCTCAGTCTGACTTACTTCACTTAGTATGATAGACTCTAGGTCCATCCATGTTGCTGCAAATGGCATTGTTTCATTCTTTTTATATCTGAGTAGTATTCAGAGTCAGAGAAGGCCATGGCACCCCACTCTAGTACACTTGCCTGGAAAATCCCATGGACGGAGGAGCCTGGTAGGCTACAGTCCATGGGGTCGCTAAGAGTCGGGCACGACTGAGCGACTTCACTTTCACTCTTCACTTTCATACCCTGGAGAAGGAACTGGCTACCCACTCCAGTGTTCTCGCCTGGAGAATCCCAGGGATGGGAGCCTGGTGGGCTGCCGTCTATGGGGTCGGACAGAGTCGGATACGACTGATGTGACTTAGCAGCAGCAGCAGCAGCAGTATTCAGAGTATATAGGTACCCACATCTTCTTTATCCACTCCTCTGTCAATGGACATTTAAGTTGCTTCCATGTCTTGGCTATTGTGATTAGTCTGCTATGAACATTGAGGTGCATGTATGCTTTTGAATTAGAGTTTTCTCCGGATATATGCCCAGTGCGGTTGCTGGATCGTATGGTAGTTCTATTTTTAGTTTTGTAAGGAACCTCCATACTGCTTTCCATGGTGGCTACACCAATTTACATTCCCACCAACAGGGTAGGAGAGTTATGGGAAGATCTTTCAAATCGTCCCTCATGTGACTTTGGGAAAATTCCTTTAACTTTCTCCCAGACACCTCTTCCTGGTCTAGGGTGTGGAGTACCTGAGGGGGTCTGCATGCCTTCCCTTTTCCTGGAGTAAGTACAGGGGTGATGCCAGGGACTTACGAGGTACCCATGCTAACTGGATCCTTTCTGGGTCTGGGGAGGATAAAGGAAGTGGAGCTGCAGTTTCCATAATTCCTATACATCTGACCCTCCCCAAAGGCATAAGGTTTTTTTTTTTTTTGTAAACTTTTAATTTTGTATTGGAGTATATAGCTGGTTAACAATTTTGTGATAGCTTCTGGTGGACATCAAAGGGTCTCAGCCATACATGTAAATGTATCCATTCGCCCCTCAAACTCCCCTCCAATCCAGACTGCCAGGTGGCATTGAGCAGAGTCCCCTCTGCTATACAGCAGGTCCTTATTGGTTATCTGTTTTATACTGTGTACATGTCCATCTTGCTTCTTTTAGCTTGCTCTGGTCGCCACCACAAAGTACCACAGATGGAATGGCTTAAACAATGGAAATGCCATTTTCCCACAATTCTGGGGGCCAAAGTCCAAGATTGTGGTTTCAGCAGGATTCTTCTGAAGTCTCTCTCTCCTTGACTTAATGATGGCTGCCTTTTCCCTGTGTCCTCACATGGTCTTTCTTCTGAATGTCTCTGCATCTCTCCCCGTCTCTCCCCAAGGCTGACCTGGAGAAAACAGAAAACAGACTTCGTGTTTGTTTCACACGTCTGCTTTACCTTTTGTCCTAATCCTAAATTGTTCTTCTATCTTATAAGCACAGCAGTCATATAGGATTAAGCCCACCCTAATAGCTATGGCAACCCACTCCAGTACTCTTGCCTGGAAAATCCCATGGACAGAGGAGCCTGGTAGGCTACAGTCCATGGGGTGGCCAAGAGTCGGACATGACTGAGCGACTTTACTTACTTACTAATAGCTGATAACTTAATCACCTCTTTGAAGACTCTCCATCTCAGGGCTTCTCTGGTGGTCCAGTGACTGAGACTCTGAGCTTCCACTGCATTGGGTGTGGGAGTGATCCTTGTTTGGGGAACTAAGATCCTCCACGCTGCACAGCTCGACCGAAAAAAAAAACAAAAAACAAACCCATCTTCAAATACAATCACCATCTGAAGTACTGAAGGGAAGGACTTGGACATATGAAAATTTTCAGGGGAGGACGCCTTTCAGCCCATAAACACCTTCATGCCTTCCAAATCCACCCCCTTCTCTCTATCCCTATTAGTATCTCTTAAACTTGATCCTTCCTCACTTCCCACTTGAAATGGATTATGAAACAGCCTCCTGTTTCATTGTCCCTTTCTGAGTCTGCCCCTGTAAGTGCCAATCTCCCTACTCCCACTGGAGTGGCCTTTCTAAAACGCATATCTGGTCAGACCGCGCTCTGGGTGGAAACGATCCATGGTTCCTCAGCGTCCGTGGCCTGGCCTCTACCAACTTCTCCAGATTCTGCTCTCACACCCCCACTCTGGTCTGTGTACCAGGCATGCCAAGCTGCTCCGGGCTCCCCCAGATGCCACACTCTCCAGCTGCTCCAAACTGCTTTTGTAACATGCTGCTGTGTCTGCCTTTTCCTCGTCTGTGATCAAGTCTATAAGAAACTACTCTTGATCACTTCCACCTGGCAGGTGCCAATCTCTGGGCTTCCATGAGAACCTCATACCTACGTCTGAGTTCCTAAATTATGACTGGAGACTTCTCTGACTCCTTCACTAGACACTCCTTAAGAATACAAAGGCATCTTGTTCATATTTTATTTATTTGGCTGCAGTCGGTCTTCGTTGCTGGTTGCTGGTCACGGGTTTTCAATGTTTGTGGTACAAGGGCTTCTCATTGTGGTGGTTTCTCTTGTTGCGAATCATGGATTCCAGGATTCACGGGCTTCAGTAGTTGTGGCACGTGGTATCCAGAGCGTTGGTTGAACTGTTGGCACACAGGCGTATTTGCTCCGTGGCATGTGGGATCTTCCCAGACCGGAGATGGAACCCATGTCCCCTGCATTGACAGGTGGATTCTTAACCCGTGGGCCACCAGGAAGTCCCCCTTGTTCCTTTTAATATTTCACACCAGCATAAGGCATACACAGAGTAAGGGGTGTTACATGTTTGTTGAGTAAATGTACATTTTTCTCTCACAGCACACAGTGACAGTACTATTTCCTGTTTAAGCATCTATCACATCACTAGTCTGTGAGCAACTAGGGGAAAAAACGAGGCCTCATTCATCTTTGTGTCACGGGTCCTAGCACCACACCAGACACTTAAAGGGGACTTGATAATATTTGATGGATAGGTGAGCAGGGATCAAATCGGGTGTGATTCATCAAACACTTTCTAGAGGAGATGTTTTGTGAGCTAGATTGATGATGTTAAAAGCAAGAGAGAAT